TCTCTCTTTAGGCTTATCCTTCCCCCCACCCCCACCCCAACATGTAAACATATCAAGTCACCCTTTTCTGGTAAGAAGTCATTATTCAACAATATTTACCATGTACCTACTAGGTGCCTGATGCTGTGCAAGGCACTGGCACTGCCTGCATGAAGCTCTGATGAGGTAGTGAAAAAGATAAATTCATAGTCTGTTTGGCTCTGACACAAAATCTCCTATTATCAAAAGCTGTGTTATAAAACCAACTTTTCAAACTGGGTGAAAAAAAGTAAGGGGCTGAAGAGTTTCAGACTCAAATAATAAATTCACTGTTCCTGCAAGACTTTCAAGAAGGTGTAAAGTAAAAATTCTCATACCACTAAGCAAATCCAATTTCTAGTTACATCTACTTTTTGCTCAAGAGCAAAGCTTTTCTTGGGGCACCTGCATGGCTCGGTTGGTTAAGCAGCTGACTTGATCTCGGCTCAGTTCATGATCTTGTAGTTCATGAGTTCAAGCTCCACACCAGGCTCTGTGCTGATGGTGCAGAGTCTGCTTGGGATTCTTTTTCTCCTTCTCTCTGCCTCTCCCCTGCTTGTGCTCTCCATCTCTCTCAAAACAAATAAACATTTAAAAAGTTAAAAACAAAAAAAAAACAGCAAAGCTTTTCTTTTCCTAATCCAGTTAGCACTGCTGAAACAAAAAACAAAAAACACCACACACACAAAAACAACAAAAAACCTAACACAAATACCACCCTGTCTTGTGATCATCAAAGCAGAGAGCCCACTTAAACACTTTTCCCTACTCAAGTTAACAGTGGTTTGCTTAATGCAAATTTGTGTTCCCTAAATAATCACTGCTGCATTGCATCCAACACACTGCTATGAAAGGGGAAGTCATGTGATGCTATGGAGCATGTAACAGGGGATTATATCCTGCATGGGAGGGTCAGGAAAGCACCCCCTAAGGAAGTGAGACTTCAGGGATGAGTAGGAGGCAGTTAAGCAAAAGTGCGGGGGAAAAAGGGGAGAAGTTGTGCTAAGGCAAAGACAGCTACAATTATGAAGGCCCTCAGGGGAGAATGGTCATGCACTTTTCAAGGAACAGAACCCAGGGGAAAAGAGGGAAGAAAGTCATATGGGCAGGCAGGCCATGTGGTCTTGCAAGCCACAGAAGGATCTGAATTTTACATTATGAGCAATGGGAAACCACTGAAGGTTTTCAGTAGTGAAGGGACATAAATGTGCTTCATTTTAGCTACCTTCCCCACTCCATTGGTCAAGCTGAGCTTATTTAAAAAAAACAGTCTACACTTGCTTGGTTGTACTTCTTCCCACCTTCTCTTCTCAATGCTCAGCATCTGACTTTGTACTCCACTGAAATTGCTCTCTTTAAAGATATGTTGGGGCTCCTGGGTGGCTCAGTCAGTTAAGCGTCCCACTTTGGCTCAGATCATGATCTCACGGTTCATGGGTTCAAGCCTTGGGCCGGGCTCTGTGCTGACAGCTCAGAGACTGGAGCCTGCTTCAGATTCTGTGTCTCCCTCTCTCTCTGTCCATCCCCTGCTCACACTCTGTCTCTCTCTCAAAAATGAATAAACATTAAACTTTTTTAATTAAAAAAAAAAAGGTATCTATTGATCATCAGTCCTTAAGTCAAAAGGCCCTTTCAGTTTTGACTTTGTGCCATCTGCTGCATGTGGCCCTCCTGACCATCAACTCCCTTCACACCCACCATTGGTTGTCTCCCCACTTCCATGGCTATTCCTCTCCACTCTTTTTAGCAAGCTCCTCTTTCTTTACCTATGCCCTTAATTGTTGTTGGTGGTCAAGATTTCTGTTGTTGGCCTTCAGCATTTCCAAACTCTCCCTATTTTCCCTGGAGGATCTCATCCACATCTAGGACCTCAAAGACCACCTATGTGCTCATGATTTCCAAAATGCTATTTACAGCTCAGGCCTCTCCTGAACTCCAAATTGATATATTAAACTATTTCCTTCCATTTTGATGTCTCACAGGTATCTCAAACTGAACAATTTCAAGACCAAATACATCTATCCCCCTCCCACTTCAAATGTGTATCCCCCCTTCCTTCATTCCTCCTGCCACTGCCTTAGTTCAGGAGGTCAACATTTCTCCTCAGGTTTATTTCAAGAGACTACTTCTCTGTGCTACTTGCCTACAGTTAGCCCCATCCATCACACTAGTAGAATGATCTTACTAATTTGTTGGTAGTCCTCATGGGATTTTATGATCTGTGCCTTTGTACACATTCCTTCTCTGGAGCACTAATTCTTTTCCCCTCCTTTATTCTCTACACCTGGCCAACTTGTCCTTCAAGACTTTGGTAAGGTCATCCCTTCTCCAGGAATCATCACCAGAATTCCCAGGTGCACCCCTCTGGGTGACTAGGCAGCATCCTGTGCTTAACACTAGCTTTTGCATTTCTTACTTTATGTTTTCATCTTCTTACCTATTTACTACTCTATGGCAGGGTGGATCCTTGAGGCTGGGACACAGTCTAATGCTGACACATAATAGATGTGTTACAAGTAAATGAGTGAAAATGGGGAATTGCAATGAGGCCCTCAAAAGAACAAGTCCTAGAATGTGAACTCAAGAGAAGGAACTCCGTTGCATTCTCTGTTGAATCTCCAAGGCCCAAAGCTAGGGACTGGCACACCACTGATGCTCAATACATTTGTAGTGTGGCTGAATGGATATTCTACAGTCAAAGGAAAATCTCTTCCTATACTTGCTTTCCATTACTAACTTTCTTGGTTCGTGATCTACGTTTACTGTAATAGCATGTATATTGCATGATTTCTTTTTTTTTTTTTTTTAATTTTTTAAAATGTTTATTTATTTTGGAGATAGAGACAGACAGAGCATGAACAGGGGGAGGGTCAGAGAGAGAGGGAGACACAGAATCCGAAGCAGGCTCCAGGCTCCGAGCTGTCAGCCCAGGAGCCCGACGCGGGGTTCGAACCCAACTGACTGCGAGATCACGACCTGAGCCAGAGTCAGACGCTTAACCGACCGAGCCACCCAGGCGCCCCCCCCTTTTTTTTTTTAATTTTTTTAATGTTTATTTATTTTTGAGACAGAGACAGACAGAGCATGAACAGGGGGAGGGTCAGAGAGAGAGGGTATATTTATTGCATGATTTCTACTGACCAAACGAGTGCTCTTCTCTTCCATTAGGAAAAAATAATAAGAGCAATGAACAACCCACTAAAGGATTCCTTGGCATGAGTCCATGGAAGGGTTTCCTGAACTCCTTGAAACTAAATGTGAAATTTTCAGTGGATGTAAGAAAGTACATTTTTCTGGTGAGAGGGATTACAGTTTTCATTAAATTTTCAAAGATATTAATGATACCCCCCATCCCCCCCCAAAATCAAACTGTCTAACCAAAATGTTAAGCTGAATTAAGCTGCAGCATTCACCTTTCTCTTCTCAAAGCTGTATTTTGATATACTGCTAGCAACTTGGAAACAGAAGCTTCTATTTAAACAAATGTAACTGGAGAAGAGACAGCTGGCAGGCTCTCACATAAAGATTCCTACTAGAATTTGCATTTAAAATGTTCTATAAATGGTAAAGCCCTTACCAACATTCTTAAAAGTTAGTACTCTATTCTAACATACTCTGTACTCCTGTGAATCAGGGTATTTATTACACTTCCTGATAATGTGTTCAAGAAGAAAATGTTACATTCTAATCATAATGACCAAGGAAACACTTTTTACTGTCATTTAACTAAATGAAATGGGGAAAAACCCAGGATCATCCAAATTTACAGGAAAACTTTTTTTTTTTTTTTAAATGTAAAAAGAGTGAACCGAGCAGCAGGAGCAGCAGCATTTAACTCACCAACCACTCAATTCAATCTTGGGAATAATATGGTAATAATTAAACAGTACAGAACAAGCATCTAAATCATTTCAAAAGGCATAAAATCCTATTTGAATTAAAGGGTTCTCAAGTTGATCTAGCTAGTCACAAAAGAATTCAACTACATGATTCCATTCAGATGAATTTAACAACAAGCAAGATTACTGTATGGTGGTAAGAAATCAGAACAGTGGTCTCTGGGATGGAAGAAGGGCATGACAGCACCTTCGAGGTAATGGAAAAGCTCTTTATTTTGACTTGGGGCTTGCACAGGTATATACATTTAGAAAACTCGCTTAATCCCATGTATAAAATCTGTGTATTTTACTGTACGTTAACTATTCCTCAGTAAAGAAAATTTAAAAGAGAACATCCTTATCCTTTCTTTTAACTAACACAACCAAACCCTATTCTCGTGTCTGGAAGCTGTTTGTGGAGGACGACCCACGCGCTGAAGACACTGCGCTCTCTGAAAACACGATGACTGCTGATTCGCCGGGAGCTTCCGCCACCACTACGGTTAGGCACTGCCATTTCGAGAGGCCCCGGAGTCACACACAACAACCGGGGCAAGAGCCGGCCGCGCCTTTGGAAATGGGTGCCGCGGTCCGCCTCCGCCCGCGCGGCCACAGAACACCTGGCCAGCGAAAAAGATGTCCATGGGCAGAACCTGGCACCGGAGCGTGCGAGCGACCGCGAGGCTGCCGCCGGCTCCCCGCCGCCCGCCCGCGCCCCCCGCCCAAACCTCGCCAGGCTCCTCACGGCCCCCAGCAGCTTCTCGGATCGCCCACGGGTCTCACCGGTACTCCCCAGCCTCCCGGGGTCTCCCCTCCCCCGGCCGCGGAGCCCGTCCTAGCCCGCCACCAGGTGCCGCTGTGGAGCCGCCTTCGAGAACCGACTTTGCGCTTGCGCTCACGAAGAACACCTCCCCCCCCCCCAATCTAAAGTCATTTTTTTCCAAAGGGAGCAGAGACTCGGTCGGCGCACGCGCGCCCCTGACGCGGCCCGCGCTCCGCCACTTCCGCCCGGAGCAGAAGGCGGGGGAGGCGGGAGGGAGCCGGCGAGCGCGAGCCTGGGTCCTCGGCGGAGGACTGCGGCTGCTGCGCGAGCCCGTGACTCACCAAGTACAGCTGCTGCCAGCGATTCTCAGCATCCAACTCCTCAAACTCCCGCTCGACGGTGGCAGACATGGCGGCGGGAGCAAGCTGGCGCGAGCGGAGCCTGCGCCGGCGGAGAGGCTCAGGCCCCGCACGATCCGGGGAGAACGCTGGCGCTGCGGCGCATGCGCGCTCCGCACCCCGCCCCGCCCCCACGCCGGGCCCGGCCGGCCGCGGGGAAAGTACCTGGAGCGTCGGACGTCAGCGCGCCGACTCGCGCCTCCCGGAATCGGACGGCGGCGGGGCGGGGCGCCCTGGGGAGGCGTGGCCCATAGGGCGCCCAGGTGGAGGGGGCGGGGCCAAGGGGACCACCCTGAGGCTGTTGGGCGGAAGGTGACCCGCTCTCAGAACTTGTGCTCACCGGCCCAGGGGAGGTGAAGCAGTACCGCGAATTTCCCAGGAATGGAGCGGACCAACAAAATCCCTTGGGAAGACCTTACTTATTGCTGTCCCATTTCTCTTTTTCTCTTTACTCCTAATTTTTTTTTAATGCGAGATTGTCATTTTATTTTAAACGTCATCTAGGTCAGTTTAGCAGCCTGTGTCCAATTTTGAAACAAATTTCTCAGCTCTCACAAGAGAGTATAAACCAGCCCTGATGCCAGCTCTTGTATACCTGAGGGGTTTGTGCCAAATAAGCCACTATAGCAAAAGGAGAGGCAGCCTCTCCCGGAGTTAGGAAGAATACAGGTGGTTAAGTAAACGTGACACGATTAAAAATTAATGTTACCTATAAAAAGGACAAGTCATCTATTACAGCCCAAACATGCTGGTTATGGAAATCATCTCTTTTCAGGTTAAGGTAATTCATTGTTGGTAAATTCTAAATGCTTATAGTATCTTGTTATATCATCATAAAAAATGTGAAGGGTTAGAAAAATTTTAGCTATGCTGTCTAATATTGAAGTTTAAATTTTAATTAAAATTAAATGAAATGACAAAGACTCACACCTTGACCAAATTCTGTACAGGTTCCTCTGAGTACTTTTTCAACTAGGCCTTGACTTTTGGACTTTGTGTTTCTCTGCATTGTCTAATTTTAGCAAGAATCTTACTAAGCCAATTTATCCAGAATCCCCCATTCTCAATATCTGTTCACCCTGGACATTTAATCAGGTTCCTCATCTTCCACTATCCCCCAGGTGATGTCTGATCACCCTGACCTGCCTTCAGCAAGAATCCTATTAGGTTAGTCAGAATGTAGATTGTTTTCTGTGTTAAAAACAAGACAACAGTCCTAAAATGGAGTTGCTTCTTAAGCCCCCTGTCACCAAACCTACCCTTAATTACTGTTTTAGCTCTCCCACAAATGGGATCTTAAATGAGTCAATGAGGAGTCACCTGATCAGCACTAGTTAGGTAATCTGCCTAATAGACCGCTGCCATCCTCTGAAGGAAAGTAACTTTGCAGTAAGCAATCTCCTTTTCTGCTTAGTATAAGTAATTTGTTCCTGCCCCCTCTGCCTCTAAAAGTTTTTCGATTTGTACAGCTCCTCAGTTTATCTACTTGATTGGATGCTGTCCCATTCAAAGTTGATTTCAATCTCTCCACCACTGCATAACCCATTGCAGTAGTCCTATACCTATTGCAATAGTCCCCCTCACTTTGAATAAAGTCTTCCTACCTCACCATTTTCAACAAATCTCATGAATAATTTTTTTTTCTTTCACAGAAGTTAAGAATTCAGTTCCTCAGTTGCACTAGCCACATTTCAAATGCTCAATAGCCATATGTACCTAGTAGCTAATGTATCACAGAGCACAAATATCATCAAAGTTCTATGAGACAGAGCTGCCTGAAAGGATTAAAATATGGGGCAAAAAAAAAAAAGAGTCCTTATATACATAGTGAAAATTTTTATCAGTAAAGACAATACGCTGTGGGAAGTAGAAGAAATCATAGTAACAGAAAATTAAGCAGACAGCCAGCCTTTCTCCTTACATAGTGTAATTTACAAATAAATACATGAAATGTCCCTCCAGAAATATCCCACAATCTAATAGTCCTGGTTTCTAAGGTTCTGTCACTGAAACCGATTATTTATGTTAAAGACATGGTATCTCCCAAGATTGTTGAGAGGGAAAAAGTTTTCCTTCTACCTTCCAGTTTCTTTGGCTGGTTCTAATAATCAATATAAAACAGATTAACAAGAGAATAACAAGTTGGTTACCTGCATATGGGAGCCCCATAAGGCCATGAAACTCAAGGACAAACCTGGCAATTGAGGCTTATATGCCATCTTAAGCTAAGGAATGGGATAGAGGTCAAGGGGTTCAGAGAGGAGGAGGGTGATTCACAGAACAATTAGAAAAGCAGAGAAGATATTTGGTAATTAGATGTTTATCCTGCCGTATGGGAAAAAAGTTATCGCTTGGTAAACTTCTCTTTCTGAGCCAAGCCCCCTATCTAAATTCTTTCAGGTAGTTTAAGGAGAGGTAAAAATTTTTCTTGAGTCTGCTGGGTTTTAAGTGCCTTCAGCTGAAAATAGTCCACATGCCAAAGTGGCACATTTTGGGGAAACTTGTCCTTTTTTGTTTTTAAGTTTATTTATTTATTTTGAGAGAGAAAGCACAAGCAGGGGAGGGGCGGAGAGAGAAAATCCTAAGCAGGCTCGGTACTGTCAGCACAGAGCCTGACTCAGGGCTTGAATTTATGAGCCATGAGATCATGACCTAAACCAAAATCAAGAGTCGGACACGTAACTGACTGAGCCACCCAGGTGCCCTTGGGGAGACTTGTTCTGAACCCCTTCACTCGTACCTTTGAAACTTCCCCAAGAAGTTTCACAGTCCAGAAGTTAAGCTGGTTGATTACTCCAGCTCAGTGAACCAGGCTCTTAGTCTTGAGAATAATAGGCCAGTTCAGTTAAACAGTTGTGTCTCATTTCAGGGGTGCCTGGGTGGCTTAGTCAGTTAAGCCTCAACTTCGGCTCAGGTCATGATCTCACAGTTCATGAGTTCAAGCCTTGTATCAGGCTCTGTGCTCACAGCTCAGAGCCTGGAGTCTGCTTTGGATTCTGTGTCTCTGTCTCTCTCTGCTCCTCCCTTGTTCATGCGCTCTCTCTCTCTCTCTCTCTCTCTCTCTCTCTCTCTCTCAAAAAAAATAAACAGACAAACAACAACAACAACAAAACCCTAGTTGGGTATCATTTCGAAAGACAGTGATTGAGGTGGGCTCCAAATATTAGGTCTATGGTACAAGCAATCACGTATTTAATAAGAGCCATTGGGGGGGGGGGGAACAAAGGTTCATAATTGGAGCAGATTATAATCCCAGTTTCTGAATTCTGAAGGCAGCCAGGCAAGACTTCTAGATGTCCAGCTTGAAGCATCTTTGGATGGAGTGAGGGCAGGCAGTAACAATCTGATAGATTTTTCTGATTTGCAGTTTGAATGTCTCTGGTGGTCTTTCTGAATGGCGTGCACAGCGGTGGGCATGAAGATTACCTGTACATTAATGGTTGTGGTGATTTATCTGAAGTTTATATCAAGTTGTCTAGCTTTGGCTTGCATGGGTTCAGGAATAGGACAGTTTTAATTCTCAATGATTCCAAGTCAGAAGAGTGAGAGAAAATTGGAAATGTCAGTTTGAAGAGTTATAGATTAATTTTGGAGTAAATTAGAAGAATTCAGTCTAGTCCAGTTTATAGGTAGGAAACAAAATCTCAAAGACAATTAACAGCACTAGAATTTATATCCACAAAAGCATATTACTGAAACATAGTTTTTCCCTGTACAATTGCTCTCATTTTGATCAAAGATAATCACAGCAAGACTAATTCATCTGCAAAACAAATCTAGTTTCAATAAAGTTGGCCTGATTATTTACATAAGTACATCAAGGATAGTAATTGACCACTAGGCTCTTTTAAATCTACTTGGCTGGACCTTTTCGTAAAGAATCTACGATTGGGTATTGAGGGGGGCACCTTTTGGGATGAGCACTGGGTGTTGTATGGAAACCAATTTGACAATAAATTTCATATATAAAAAAAAAAGAATCTACGATTGAATTTTTAAAAGCCTCTTGAGGCTAAGAAGCCACACCGAGGACTTGCCATAAGACTTTGCCTGCAATACCTAGAGATTTAGACGAATTCTCCTCTTGTCAAGGTCCCCAAAATATCCTGAAGTTCCTGTGCTTGCCCTGAAGTGACTTTTCTTACCTAGTAAGGCTTCTGGGAACCCTGTAAGTTGGTACCAGGCCAATTTTTACAATAGGCTTTATTGGCTCCATACGGTCAACGTTAGCTCCTTAAAGCTATCTGGTTGCATCTAAGTCTATTTATATCTCTCTCAAATACAATATTTAGTTAAAGCCTTGGTATTTTAACCAATGTTTCCAATTGTGTCCTGTTACAAGGAGAATAGATTCTTATTGAACTTACGTCAATAACTATATTGCATGAAAATAAGAATACTCATTAAGAGTTTTTGAATTCTGGAGGAATCCAGTAGGGAGAAAAAATAGAAAATTTTCAGCTCTACTTACAAGGAGATAATTTACCAAATTTCTTTTTTTGTTTGTTTATTTATTTACTTAGAGAAAGTGAGCAGGGGAGGGCAGAGAGAGAGGGGGAGAGAAAGAATCCCAGAAGGCTTCACACTTCCAGTGCAGAGTCTGATGCGGGACTCGAACTCACAAATTGTGAGATCATGACCTGAGCAAAAGTCAAGAGTCTGATGCTTAATCTACTGAGCCACCCAACTTACCAAATTTCTGTAAGTCATAGTTAGCTTGACAGGAAAGATTTCTTATATCTGAAAAATAAAAATTTTTAAAAAAGCAATATTTCCTTTTTTTTTCCTTAAAGTTTGTCTGTTTGTTTATTTTTAAGAAATCTCTACATTCAACATGGGGTTCAAACTCAAGACCCTGAGATCAAGAATCGCATGTTCTTCTGAGCCAGACAGGCACCCTAAGAATTAGCAATATTTTAAACAAAAACTCATAAATAACTATAATTATCCTCCTTAGATCATGTAGTCCCATGTAATTAATAATTGTTTTATTTGAGTCCAGGTTTTTTTGTTTGCCATTAGTTCTGGAAATTCTTACCCAGTTCAGTTTTATGACCTTAAAATTACCAGAAACCTGTGTTAGTCAAAATCCTTTCCACGAATCTCTTTGAAGATGAAACACATTTGCAAAAGCATCAGAGTAAAACAATAACTGTCTAT